CAGGAGCCCACAGCGCACCCCCCAGTCGTTTCTGGGGGTGCTCGTGTGCACTGGAGGCTGCCTGTCCCCTCTTTCCCCCAGCCGCTGTCTCTGCCACCTCTCGGGACCCACGGGCACAGTCACACCACCCCGCTCCCGAACCCCTCAGGCCCCACACCTGGACACAGTTTCTGCTGCTCCTGTAAACTCAGGCTCTCCTGAACCCACACGCCTGAACCCTGATCTGGGATGCTGCTTGTCTGCTAGCAGGTTTCCAGGGGTGGGGAAAGACCAGCTCAGCCCTTGGGGTCTTTTCCACATCTCAGAGCCCAGTCCCCTCATGCTATGCCTAACAATAACCTTTCAAAGATGATTAGTACTGAAACAGATCGCCAGGCCAGGTTGGATGCATGAGACAAGTGCTCAGGGCTGGTGCACTGGGAAGACCCAGAGGGATGGGATGGGGAGGGAGGCGGGAGGGGGGATCAGCATGGGGAACACATGTAAATCCATGGCTGATTCATGTCAATGTATGGCAAAAACCACTACAATATTGTAAAGTAATTAGCCTCCAACTAATAAAAATAATTGGGAAAATAAAATAAAAATGATTAGTATTAAACACAAACGGCTTCCCAGGTGGCGCTGGTGGTATATAACCCACCTGCCAAGGCAGAAGAGGTGAGAGATGCAGGTTCCATCCCTGGGTGAGGAAGATCCCTTGGAGGCAGGCATGGTAACCCACTCTAGTATTCTTGCCTGGAGAATCCCATGGACAGAGGAGCCTGGCGGGCTACAGTCCATAGGGTCACAAAGAGTCGGACATGACTGAAGTAGCTTAGCACGCACGCCCAAACACAACAAGCTAACATGCTGGTCTGAAGCATCTCTGTTTGAAATGCTACCTAAGTCTAAGGCGGGCATGAGAAAAGCAGTGGTTATCTGTTCTACGTGGGTTTCACCACCTCACAAAGGACACAACCACCTCCAATCTGTCCACCAGCGCTCTCTGATGAAAGCCTACAGCAGCAGACAGAACTCAATACTAGTCACGATCTCGTCTGCGCGAGATGCTTTGAGCGTGTAATTGAGCGTGCATGTCTCAGCGACACTGCCTTAGACTGAGGTCCTAAGAAGTGGAGCCTGAGCCAAAGATTCTATTCGAGGGGAATGAGAAGTGTTGGGAGGGGCTCTCAGGGGAAGGGGAGTGGGACGCAGGCTCAGGTGAGGGAAGGAGCCAGAGACGTGGTCTCAGCTGGAGCACAGAGTCGCCTGACCCCCAACACAGGCTGCCTTCAGATCTGGCCCCACACCCGGACACAGTGACTGCTGGGTCAGCACTCGCTCGCAGTGGTGGGGATGGTCTGGGAGCAGCCCCCAGGCTAGGCAGTTGTGAACCTTAGCAGTCAGCGCTGGAAGCAGCTTGCACACAGAATCCACAGGGTCCCGGCAGCCTCCACTACAGACATCCTCTCACCTGGGCGTTACTAGGGTGAGGAGAGGGAGGCTTAGTGATGCTTCAGAGGAGGTAGAGAGGGGACTCAGGGAGGGCGCAGCAATGGGGTGGAGGAGCTGCTCTGCTTTCTCAGGACCCGCCCTTTCCTGGACCTTTCTCTCCTGTGCTGTGCTCTGTACTGATGGAAAATTCTCATAAAGCCAGGCTGGCCAGGCCAGCCTGGGCACCGCCGATGAATGCTCTGGTCCCTGGGGATGTGGGACGGAGGGGCATTGTGTCTGGGATCCTGGACCCTGGAGGATCCTGGAGGTGGAGACAGAGTCTTGTCTCTACACCCCACAAGCTGCCTAAGACAAATGACATGCTTCAGTCCCCCCAGCCCACACTTTGAACATGGCATGTCGGAGTCAAAAGGCCCACCCGAGAGAGGTGGGAAAGTGAGGTAGGGCAGACCACCTGCACACACGACAGCCTGGACCTCTTGTTAAAGGGCATTTCTGATTAGAGTTGGGAGGGGGCTGCAATCTTGCAGTCATAACAAGCCACAAGGTTGCTGGGCATAGCAGGGGTGCTGGACTGCCACCTGGAGTCCACTCGCCCACCCTCTCAACTCTGGTTTCCCCTGGTGATTCGTCCCTTCCCCTCCACACACACACACCATGGCCTCCAGGTGGAGCTGAGCCTCTCGGGGCAGCATGTGCCTAGGCCAGGCCTTCCAACACGTGGTCCTCCCCGGATCTGGTGGAGCCACTGCTCTGGCAACAAGCATCAACGGATTCCGGCCAAGGACGGTCAGCCCTGCAGCTGGTTCTGACCCCAGGGAAGGAAATGAGCCTGGGCAAGCAGAAGGCAGAGCTGCTGCCCGCTCCTTCCTGCCCTACGAGACAAGGAGGCAGCAGAGAGGGAAATGGGCTGGGTCTTGGCCTCACGGTCAAGTCCCCGCCCTTCTCAGTTACAGATCCCACGGTTCCCCTTTAAGGTGTCAGTGGATCTTAGTTGAATGAAGTTCCTGCTTTGACTCACCCCGATCTGAGCCAGGTCTCCCAGGCCTTTGTCCACGAGTTACCCTGACTTGGGACCCTCATCAGCTGATAGAGACAACTGATGCAGCCCCAGGTCTGAGTTGAAAAGCGAGGCATGGAAGGAAGGTTCTGGAATGAGCCCGTAGCCGTGACCAGGCCCAGCCCTCACCAGGGGCAGGAGGGGAAATCACTCATCCAAGCCTTGGCAACCTGGCGGCGGGCCTGGCCCAACCCCAGGCTCCAGCGCCTTCTGCGGCAGGAGACTCGGGCTGTGAAGCGGAGTGTCAGCAGCCGGGCCCGCCTTTGCTGGGAGGCACAGCAGGACACAGCCCTGCCTCTGAGTAGTCTCTGCAGTGCACGCGGTTTGCATACATTCTCATTTGAGTCTCACAACCCCTGACGTAGGAGGAGCAGAAAAGAAGACCCGAGTCAGGAGAGAGACAGGACGGGCCAGGGCCTCCCGGTGGGGATGGGCTGGCGCCCAGGCGTCCCGGAGCTCAGGGACCGGCAGAGGGAACCACCTCGAAGGTTCTCAGCAGTCCTGTCTGGCCGCCAGCTGGGCAAGTTGCGGGGCTTACTCCAAGGCGCCCTGATGTCTATCTATTACCCAATTCCAGTAGCATGCAGCTGGGGGGAGCCCAAGCTGACTCACTGCTGTGACTTTGGAGCTCCATGACCTTGAACATAACCCCCTCAGGGTGGGGGAAAATGAAGGAGGCCGAGGTAGAGGCTTCCCTGCTCCCAACTGAGCTCAAATGATAACATCAATTCCCGTTAGTCAGCTGCAACAGGCGTCGGTGACCTAGAGGAGACATCCAGCCTGGACGTCCAATGCCACACACTCCTGAGGAGCCAGACCCAGTGGGGGTTGGGGGGGGGTGTAGGGGGACGAGGTCTCTCCTGTCCCACTGCCCCAAGGAGGGGAGAACCCGAGGCCTCCGACCTCCCATTACTGTCCAGGCGACCAGCCCACAGCCCAGTAAAATGCACTCAGTGGGCACACCTCCCACCCCCCCGCCCGCGGCCTCCAGCCCTGGACCCACCAGCCAGTGGGCAACTACCGCCTGGGTGTATGAGCCCAGCCCTGCACTGGACCCTGCCGGGGTTCAAGAAGGAAGGATGCGGCCCTTGCCTTCAGGGGGCCCCCGTCTCAGCGGAGGTCTCACGCACACAGAGGAAACTGGGGTATAAGCCTGCACATACCTCGCAGGGGCGAGATGGTGTGTTAACACAGGGACTGTTCCGAGGAGGGAGGGGTGTGTGCTAGGTGGTTCTGGAAGGCAGGCCTGGCGGAGAAGAGGGCTTAGGAGGGTGGAGCGGAGGTGGGCGGAGGGGGCATGGGTCACACCAGCACCATGGGAGGCAGGAGATGAGCAGAGCAGGGACGTCTGCAAGGGTGCCCCCAGGTGGGCCAAGGACCCAAGTGAGTGGAGCTCCAGAAGCACGGGGCCTTGCTCTCTGACCCCCGCAGAGCAGCCTGTTATCCCAGAAGCCAGTGTATGGCAGGTGGTCGGTAAGAACCCACGTGCAAACTGCACCAGAGACCCATGGGGGCCCCCCAGCAACCCTGCCTGAACCCCAGCTCAGCCCTGGGATGCCACCCCCCATCTCAACACAACTCCCCTGAGTCTCGGCACTCACATCCCTGGGATTTGACCTACATGTCATAACTAAAGGCCTCTCCCACTTCCAAGGGTTTCACTCCCTATGACCCACCTTACAAAGTCTGGTTGTCCTCAAAACCCCAGCCTGGCCATAGTGGGTCCCCCCTTTTCTGAGGGGTGGTTCATTCTGGGGAGGCCAGGGAGCTCCAGGCCAGGTGTGAAGCCCAGAGGAGCCCTCACCCTGCGGCCAGCCCCAGCCTCACCTTCCTCTTATTCCTCTGTGCCCTGCAGACACACGGAAGATTGTCTGCCAGCCTCTCTCCCTGCCCGGAGCTGGCAGGCACCAGCAGGGAGGTGCCACTTCTTCCCCAACCTCCCTCCTCGCCCTCTTCACATCATGCTGAGCCAGCACCCAGGAAGCCAGAACAAGCAACCCCAAAGCAGAGGAGAGTAGACCATCCCCCCAGAGCTTCCCGATGATGACGGAGGCTGGGGAAGGGGACTGAGGCTCCTGACGCGCCGTCTGTGGGGTGTGGGAGAAGACAGTGGCTACCCAGGGCCCCTCCTCAGAATTCTTTATTCCTGAAAAGGGAAGGAAGGTCGATGGGCGCGGAATGGGGGAAACGAAATGTGACTCGAACGAAGACCCTGACCCAGGACTCTGTGTCAGCTCAGGAAGGAGCGGCGGGCTAGCCCCAGGGCCTGGGGATCTTGGCCAGGAGTGCCGGAGCTCCGGGAATCCCTCGTAGATTCTGCGTCCCTGTGAGTATGTGCGTCTTCCTGGGGAGAAGGTTCATAACCTTTGCCATCTTGTCAGAGGGCTTTGTGAGCCCAAAAGTGTGAAGAAATGACTGCCCTGAAAGGTGAGGGAAGCCTGCAGGTGTGTTCATCCCTGGGGGTGGTCCTGCCTCTGGAGCCGGGTGTCTGCTTCCACGTTTCCTATCTGTGGTGGGCCAGGCGGAAGCACAGAAGTGGGCTCCCCACACAGGCACCATCGCTGCTACCACGGGAGAGGCCGGGCAGCCAGGACCACCTCATCTTCAGCCATGACTCCCAGCAGGCCAGGGGAGTTTTTCCGCCGAGGCACAGAGTCTGTCTCCAATTCCAGGCTCCATCAGACCCTCTGCCTTCACCTCCCGAGGTAGGTCTTCTTAGGCGACATGGCCTCATGCTGGGGCACAGGCCCAGGGCCCCATTCTGAGTCTCTGTGTCAGAGGCGCCCTGCACACTGCCCAGAGCTCCTGACCACTCCACATCTGTGCATAAAGACGAAGAGACCAGGGTCAGGTCTCGGGTGGAACATGGCCCCGCCCAGCCCCCCCCCTCAGTCAGGGCTAAGAGGGAGCAGTCATGGGCCCCCTGCACCCAGTCCAGGGTCTTGCATCCTCTTAGCCCCTACCAAGCAGTTCAGGATTATAATCCCATTTACCAATGAGACATCGTGGGTTCAGGGTTCTTGGTGACTTGGTTCCAGATGTCCCCGGTCCCGACTTAATCTCTTAATCTCCACCACTAAGCACTAGTCCACACTGCAACAGCCACCGATGGGTGGCAGGCAGAGGACAAGTGATCCCCGAGAAGCCACATGGCTCTAAGGAAAGGGGGGAGGGCAGAGACGGGTCTCCAGCACTGAGCAGCAGCCTGGGTGCGGAGCAAGGGCCCTGTGGGGGCAGGTCCTCTCCCAGCCCCCAACTGCTTTCTTCCCAACCCACCACCCAGGAGGCCACATCCCCTGCAGACACCCATATCTCCCACCAACGCCCCTGCCCATGCTCCTACCACATGGTCCCGCTTCCTCAAGGCGCCATTTTCCCACCTGGAGGAGCATCTCTTAATGATGGTACAGTAGAGATACAGGGTCTTAGGGTCCAGAATCCAAAACGAGGTCCAGGCTTGCATTGCTGCACCACTAACTCCTATGTGTGACCCAGGGCCAGCCTGGGGCTGCCTCACTTTCTTTGTCGACCACACGGCAGAGAAGCCCAAGCATCAGCTTGGAATCTGAGGCCTGGGGGACAGGTCATGGCTCGCCCCTTTCTCACTGCATGACTCTCGCCAAGCCTTTCAGGGGACCTCAATTCTCTTGCCTGGATGACCCCAGGGCCCCGGTCCCACTTCCATCTCTCCTCCATGCCTCCAGTTGTCCTTGAACTGCACTTGGGCTCACTGGGCTCTTTCCATTAGACATTTTGGTGTCCCCTTCCCTTGCTACAAATCCTTTTTTAGAGCAAATATAAGCCTCCAAGTTCGAACCCCCACCTTAGAAATCTTCCATACTCTATGGAAGGTTCCATGTTCCCTACGAGTCCCCAGGACCCAGCTCAAACCATCAAATTGCCTTGGGTGTCGCCAGCCACCTCCCCACCCTCCAGAACACTTTCAGTCTGTCCCCTACGGTAGCAGGCATTACCCTGTATGAGCACCCCAGGAACAGGGCTATGTTCCTCCCAAGGACCCCACTCAGCACACAGCCTGGCACATTGGGGCACTCAATTAATGATGTCACCCCCTCTTATCTGCTAAACTTACAGTCCTCAGAACATCCCCAGGAGGAGGAGGCCCTCATCTTCAGCCCCTACTTATACAGAAGCAAACTGCGTCTTGAGGTGAAATGACTTCTCCAAGGTACTAAGGAGGAAGCACTTGTGCCAGGAGACCTTGGGACTGGGGAGGCCTGAGGATTGCGCACAGTGTCCTCTCTCCGGGTGGCCTTTAATTCTGGCATTCAGGGAATGAGGATCATGTAAGACAACAATCCTACACCGAGAAGCCCAGTCCGCCCCACCTGCCCCACGTGACCCCCAACGAGCCCGAGAGGGCTCTGGCCAGCGCCAGGTCTCACCTGCTCTAAGCTGGGTGTTCCTGTGGAGGAAGCCCAACATAGGGGCCCAAAGAGCCGTATGCAGCCACCTGGAGGGTCCTGGAGGAGGAGCGGAAGGAGGCGGCCCAAGCCCGGCAGAGGCCCAAGCCCAGTAGCGGCCCGCTCCTTTTGAGACCCCCCAAGCCAGCCCTCACGGTCTCCCAGGATCCCATCCAGAGAGGGGGCCCCAGCCCAGCGGCATCTCCAGGGGTCACAGATGCGGCTCTGGGGCGGGAAACAGTCGGCGGTGCCGGCAGGTTCTGCGCACATCAGAGCACGCGGCCTAAATGGGCCGCCTGGCCCTCGGGCCCGTGGCCGTGACTGCGCTGGTGGGTCTTGAGCGAGCCCTCCCGCGCGAAGCTCTTGCCACAGCGGGCGCAAAAGTAGGGCCTGCGCTCCCCGAAGACGCCAGGGCGGCGCGGGTGCGGCGTGGGCATGCGCGCGTGGGTGCGCTGGTGGTTGAGCAGGAAGCGCGGCTCGCGGAAGCAGCGGCCGCACTGCGCACACTGGTGCGGCTTCTCGCCGCTGTGGATGCGCTGGTGGGTGAGCAGGTTCTGCTTGAGGCTGAAGCAGCGCCCGCACTCGGGGCAGGGGAAGGGCCGCTCGCCCGTGTGGGTGCGCTGATGCACCTCTAGGTTGTGCTTGACGCTGAAGGCCTTGCCGCACTCCGGGCACACGAAGGCGGCTGCGCGGCCCGCCCCGGCGTGCGCCTTCTGGTGCCGCACCAGGCTTGGCTGCTGGGCGAAGGTCTGGCCACACAGCGGGCAGCGGTGCGGCTGCTCCTCCGCCGGGTGGTGGATGACCAGGCCTCGATCGTCCCCCAGGCCCTCCTCCCCGTCCCCCGCAGGGGACCCGCCCCCGGAGGATGCCAGCTCGGTCATGGGCACGTCCGGCTGCAATCACCGGCCCCTGAGGAGGCAGAAACAGAGAGAGGAGTCAGAGGGCACCCGAGGGTTGGCCAGCCCCCAGCCTCAGTGCCCATCACTCCCCAGTCCTGTTCGAGCCAGTGTCCCCCTGCTGGAATGTCCTTCTTTCTTCTCTACCCCTTAATTACATCCTACCCCTCCTTCGGGCCTTTCTCAAATGACCCCTCCTGCTAGAAGCCTTCCTTGACCCTTCCAGCCTCTTTTGAGCCACGTGGCCCAACCCTGTGACCCTTATGCATCACACAGCACACAGGGGCACTCATGCCACCTCTGTCTCCCTAACCTGTGGGCATCTTAAGGACAGGCCTGCTTCCTTTTATGACCCACATCAAACACTGTGCCTACCACACAAGGCACAGAACAAATGCCGATAAGTAATACTCAGGGGCTTCTAGTCTTATAAGTTGTCCTGAACCCGGGTGCACCTTATCCCTCCAACCAGAGTCTCAAGGAGGAGGGGAAGGACAGACATCCCCAATCTGGAGGGGAGGGTGGGGTCGACAGTGATTTAAAGATATTTTTGCAAAGCTTAGAAGAAACAAAACAAAAGCCCTGTAAACTTGAAAGTAACCTCAGTTAAACATTAAAGGCAGCAGCTCTTTGTTTATCAAAATGAGGCATGCCTGTAAAAGGTTTGCAAGTCACTGAACCACAGTGTGAGCTCGCAGGGGGCGGGTCTCAGCTTGATTCCTCTTGGCATCCCCCCAGCAAAGCCTGGCGCAAGGCTGAGGAACACTCAACAGCTCAACAAACAGCCCCAAGTTCAGTTCCATCTCATTCACACTGCTTCTCCTAAGGATCCTCTTTCCCAGGACACTGTGTCCCTCTTGAATTGTTGCCCACAACAGCCCTGAGGAAGGGGCAGGCTTATGGAACCCCAATTTATAGATGGGGAAACTGAGGCTCAGTGAGGTCAACTTACTTGCCCAAGGTCGCCCAGCAAGGTGAACCAGGACTAGGCTGTAAATTTCCTCATTGTCAAAAGTTCTTTTCAATGTCCTAGCTGCACACCAGCTAAGCGTCCCTCAACACACACACACAGAAGACCACCACTCTCCCGGCCACCACAGGTCATCAGGACCCAAAGGAGCACTGCTTCTGTGGGGTGCTGTCTGTGGCCAACACCCTCATGCCTCCCCAAATCCTGGGTTCCAGCTCCTGCAGAGCAGTAAGGCCTGCTTCGAGGGGCCGAGCTGACCTCCCCCTAGGCTTTCCCCTGCCCCTATCAGGGAAGCCTCCTGGCCCTTCACCTGGACCTCCATGCAGGCCTTCACACTTCCAGATCTCCCTGCTTACCACCGCCTCAGTGGACCTACCAGCAGAGTGGGGGCCCAGAGGCAACCCCTCTGTCTTCCCCTACCTCAGGCCCCCGGTGGAACACCACTCACCCCGGGGAAGGGGACAAGGACTACTTGCAACAGACCCCACCCCCAACTCTTTCCCCAGGCAGCTGCAAGGCCGTCTGCAAAGACAGATCATCTCTGTCCCCTTGGGCCAATCTCAGCTTGGCCTTGTCTCTGAGCCGCCTCCCCACTCCCCCAGCTATACCCCTGGCCGAGGGCCCCGCCCGCCGAGAGGGTCTCGGCCACGGTCCCCGGTCTCTCCGGCCGCAAGTTCCTCCACCCCATCCCGCACTCACAGCCCAGGCGGCGCCCCAGGTCCTCCGGCCTCCAGCAGTGGCTCTTTCCTCGAGTCTGCGCTGCCCAAGGCAAATACGGTAACTCTCCGCAACGCCTCCGGGGGCCCCTTCTTCCTCACCCCCAGAAAGACGGCCAGCCTCCAGCACCGCTCTTCTTATCAGACCGCGGCATGAATCGGAAGAGCTGACCCCACCCACCCGACCCCCCGCACACAACCTTGCCAGCTCCCCGGGCCAGAGCGAGATCCTGGAGAAATATGGTAAACTCTGCGTCGCAGCCCCACCCCCACGAAAATATGTAGGCCTCCCACTCTGCTGCAGCAACCCACCCCATTCCGCTGCAAACGCTGGCTCCCTTAGGGAATTCGTGCAACCCACCCCGCTCCCGCAACGCCGGGGGTAGGGGGAGAAACCACGCCACGCCGGATAAATACGTAATTAAGTCTCGGCGCTCGCCACTCCCGGAAAGGGTCTGCGCGGCTCCCGGCAAATACGGTAGCGCGCCCGCAGTGACCCGCCCCCAAGGGTCCGGCACCGGCTGGGGTAAATACGGTAATCTCCCGCCGCGGCCTCCGCCCGGGACCCGACCCGGGACTCGCGAGGCGCCGCCTCCCCGCAGCCCGCCGCTCCTCCGCAGCGCCGCAGCCGCCAACGTCGCCGCAGCCGCACAGCAGCCCCGTGAGGCTGGGAGGTCTAACTCGCCCACAGCCTGGCTGGAGCACCGAGGAGGCCTGCGAGCGGGGTTCCCGCCAGGGGCAAAACAAGAAACCTGGCGGAGGGCCGGTCGGGGGGGGGGGGCGGGGCGGGGGCGCTCAGGACACCCAGGCGGGCGGGTCGCCCCGGGTCCCCTTGCCCCAGCCATTCCCGGTTCAGGATTCCCCGAGGCCGCAGTCTCGCCTCTCTCATCCTATGGCTGTGCTGTGCTTGGTCGCTCAGTCGTGTCCGACTCTTTGCGACCCCATCCATAGACTGTAGGCCGCCGGGCTCCTCTGTCCATGGGGCTTCTCCAGGCAAGAATACTGGAGTGGGTTGCCATTCCCTTCTCCAGGGTGTCTTCCCCCACCCAGGGATTGAACCAGGGTCTCCTGCAGTGCAGGTGGATTCTTTACCGTCTGAGCCACCAGGGCAGCCGAGCTACTCTAGTTAGGCCCACAGACTGGCCCCAGCGTCTGGGAAGCTGGGTCTGGGGGGTGTGGGAGGGACAAAGCCTTTCCTTGCAAGAGAGAGAAAGGGGTGAAGGCCGGAAACTGTCCCCCCACCTCCACCCCCGGGAAACCTTTCTGAGCAGGGGCTTCATGGGTGGGAGACTGAGCCCAGCCTACCACCAGGTTATGCCATCAGGATGACTGGGTTGGGAATAGAAGAGACACTTATTCCCCTACCATGCCATCCTTCCCACAAAGGAGCCCATTACAGTCAAACTAAAGACAGCCCATGCAAGAGCCACTTATAACACCCTGGGGAGGCAGCTGGTGTGGGCAAAGCTGGGCTGAATTCCAGCTTCCAAATGTCACTTAATAATGTACCTTACCTAGGCATTACTCCTCTCATTACAAAGCCCTTTCCCATGTATTCTCTCGCAACAGCCTTCCAATAACCAGTGCCGGCTGAACCATACAAGTGTTATTATCCCATTTCATAGATGGGAAAATAAAATAAAATTGAAACACAGAGCAACTCTGCCAACACCCCACCCCTGCCTCTCCCCATCCCCCCTTCCCCCACTGCTTCACATGGCAGAGTCCAGGTGGAAAGGCAGGCCCAGCTCTCTCTCCTTGGCATTGCCCTGGTCCCTCAATGGAGAAATAGAAACAGCATGCTCAACCAGGATCAGAAGGAATAATCTCATCCCAAAAGGGAAAATACGTCCAAATTTACATTTTACAGATGAAGAAACTGAGGCTGGAGAAGGAAAATGGTTTTTTAAATTAAAAGTGCTAGAGGAACACTCTGGGCTTCCCAGGTGGCATTAGCGGTAAAGAACCCTGTCTGCCAATGCAGGAGACATAAGAGACTCAGGTTCAATTCCTGGGTGAGGAAGATCCCCTGGAGGAGGACAAGGTAACTCACTCCAGTATATTCTTGCCTAGAGAATCCCACGGACAGAGGAGACTGGTGGTGGGAGAGGCGGGACAAAAAGTCAGACAAGACTGAAGCGACTTAGCATGCAAGCACGCACGCAGAGGAATATCAGTTGGCCCTTTCTGCCCTGGCCCTCTGCAGCTGCTGCTGCTGCTAAGTCACGTCAGTCGTGTCCGACTCTGTGCGACCCCATAGACGGCAGCCCACCAGGCTCTGCCATCCCTGGTGGATAAAACTGCTAGGATTCCGGAAGGTCCAGGCAGGGCTCCTTACAGCAGACAGTGGGTATGGCTGTTGGGGGTGGCGTTATCCCTGATGAAGGCTTCTGGGAGGCACAAGCCTCCCAGCCTCTGGAGGTGCCCCCTGTAGCCCTACAGGCACCCCAGGTGCCTTCCAGGGCCTGGGAAATGAATTCCAGGTGGGAGTCCATCTGGGAGTAAAACCAATCTCTCACTCCTGACACCAGCTTTCACAGCTCGCCCCATGGACCAGTTCACCGCAGCCGGTCCCCTCTTGGGTACTCTCAGCCTCTGAAGGACCCACCCCCATCCACGCTCCTCTGGTAGCCCCTCACTGAGGTTTGTGGACCTCCACAGGAGAGACACCCCAAGGAGACTGGTATTTCAAATAGAGTCAATGGTGGGGGCAGAATGCTGGGAAAGCCAAAGACATGAAGCTACCAGGGTAGATGTGTACTCCAGCACCAAGTGTAGGTCTCCCACGGCAGTGACAAAAGGACCCTCTAACCACTGACGACAACCCACACCCACACCCCACCTGGCCCGTGGAGCTTGGTTCATGAACAGCCACGCCACCCAGCTCTCTTTGGTTGCAAACGTCACCTGCCAGTGCGACCAGCTTTCATCTCTCCCACAGGCTACAGGAGAAATGGGAACACTTAGGAAATGACCAGATTTCTCAAAAGCAAAACAATGCACCTGAGGAAGTCTCCCTTATTTTTAGCAGCTGTGCCATATTTCTGGGTAAGCTACATAGAAAGGGAAGGAACACAGCCGGGGTCGGGGTAGTGAAGGCAGACACCATGACCTCAAACTCGTCTCTCAGCGGAATGCCCAGGGCTCTGGGAAGCCTCCTTCCTCAGCCCTGCCTGTGTGTGTGATTCTGCCGACTCACT